TTACCTGACTATATGGCCCAAAATCGTGTTGAAGTTTATAGAAAAGTTCAAAGTTTTTATTTTGAAAATTGACAGTTTAAACAACACATTTTTAACCAAACCTGCTGCAGCTGTAGCCAAACGCCATTTAGTGCTTGTCTACATGTAGAGTAGAAAACTAAATTATATGGAATTGACGAAAATTTTGACACTTGTCAGTGTCATCCCCATACATTTAGTTTTCTACTCTCTCTGTAGACAAGCGCTAAGGTGGGGTTTAGGCAAAAAGCACAGATGACAAATGACTCCTTTATTACATGCTTTTCTATAACGGTAACCTCTGTCGCCCTCCTACTGAAATAAGAGATACCTATGACGTAATTTTGTACACTAATGACATTTAAATTCAAGATGACATTGAACCGCTAATGGGTAAGAAATTCGAGGAAGTAAAATAAGTACGATGTTGTTCACAATATTTAGAAAATATCAGAGAAAAATGTAAATAGAAATTTCGCGAATACTTGATACCTTTTTGTAGGGAACCTGACACGTCTTTCAGTGCGAATGGTAAACGGTATTTCGTTTCACAATTCTTTAGAAATACATAGTAATGGGTGGGTGTTTCTTCTATTGGACTAATGAATTGTGATTTTTGAAATTTTCAGTAATAAGTAGGTAGTAGGTAGCAATGAAGATGCTATAGAGGTTATTTTTGTTAGAAAATTAAAGAGAACAATTTAATGAACGTAGGTTGGCATGATCAAGTTTGATTAAAAGCTTCTATTTTTCATGGAGTAGGAGGTAAACGAGCAGACAGATGACACAACACCAGAAGAATCATAAGCGTTGCTGGCCTTTTAACTCGTCGAGTACCGTCACTATAGACACAATTATAGAACAATTTTTTTTTTAAGGGGGGAAAATCATCGAATGACTGCTCCCGCCTGGGTGAGGCGGAAGGGAGTGTCAGACTCTTACTGAATAAAAACCACCCCGTTCCTTCTCCTGCACGTCGAGCCGGAGCCCCGGTTACCCGTTAGGTTCTCCGCGACATTATAGAACAATAGGTTGCGGTCACCGGTGACCGCTTGGTGTTTGACAGTTTAAAAAGGAATACGCACTTTTCTTAAAGATTTTCTTCAATAAAGATTATAAGAACAGTAAGTAGTATCACGTCTGGAAATTATATGGATTGGCGAAAGGCTCACCGTCTTTTTGTGAGCCCCATAGTGCAAAATAGGGATAAGGTACATTAAAAATGTGCATCTAAACTGTCCAGAAAAATAGGGTGCAACATGTTGCATTTCGTCTTAATTTAATGTTTGATGGACTTAACTGTATTCTGTTTCAAAATGAACAGACATTAATTATTTGTTATTTGCAATATTAAAGTGTATTTATTTGCAAAAAATTATCGTTATCAGGACCTTCCTTCGATGACCCCTGGATCGTTCTGATCGCGACTAATTTAAAACAATGAACTAAGTGCAGTCACTTTAAATACCGATACAAATCAAATTATGAATGCAAACGTTTGTTTGTTTGTGTATATGCTTGTTGTCCAGCCACGTTAAAACGACTGAATGGATCGGAATAAAATTTGGAACTGAGGTAGATGATGGTCTAGAATAATACATAGGCTATTTATTTCATCCCCCGGAAACGTGAACGGAACCACAGGCAGGCAGCAAACAAAATATAAGAATTAAAACCAACTCATTTTAACAACTGCCTCGTTGGTCGAGTGGTCGCAAGTGCGACTGCCAGTCAAGAGGTCTCGGGTTCGATACCAGGGTCGGGTTTTTAAAAAAAAATTCAGTGGTAGCACGGAGTCTGGAATTGTGCCCGGTATATGCCAATAGGCTTACCCCCTATTACATGGGACTCATAACATAAATAGTGAAAAGTGGGTGTTACATACAGTGGCATTAAGTGCCATAACGTGCACCTCTGCCTACCCCTTTGGGAAAAAGGCGTAATGTTATGTTATGTTCATTTTAACAACAGCTGCCTGTACCCTATAAAATATTCCTAGAAACGTCTGTCGGGTACTTTGGCTTCGTCTTGCTTTGTCTGTTAACTTGTAATTAATGATTTTCACCCTGCAGTCTCGTCGCTTTTACCAACTCCACTAAATACCTCGTCATTTTCACTTCGGAGTAGTAATAACAACTACTTATTAAAGACTAGCGACCCGCCTCGGCTTCGCACGGGTGCAATATGTATGTATTATAACTTCCTTTTGAATCACTCTATCTGTTAAAAAAAACTGCATCAAAATCCGTTGCGTAGTTTCAAAGATTTAAGCATATAAAGGGACATAGGGACAGAAAAGAGCGACTTTGTTTTATACTATGTAGTGATATAACACACGACAACACGGTTAGTGCGAATGCGGTGACTGGGCAACTGGCCGCCACGCAACACGCAAAAGAAATAAAATATATAAATAAATAATCCAATCAGTCTATTTATATCGTATGATGGACATACAGAAACCCTCGTTGAAAATGACTAAAACAATTAAAAACAATAACAGGAAAACTGTTGTTTGAGCGCAATTTTTATCTGTAGGCTGCGCGACATCGCCGCGACCGCTTCTGAGCTTTTCTCAGTATTTTGACGTGAATAACCCACGATTTTTAGTAAATTTAATGTGTAGGCATCTATTAAAAATATATTAAGATGCGATGGAACTATCTAACTAATATTTTACATACCGGAAAATGATATGGCATCTCAGATACTTCAACCGAAACAAATTATAATATTCTCTTACTAGCATGTGGGCGTTTAATGATATCTACTTATGTTATTTTTATATCACATCACTAAAAGACCAATATTTCCTCAATACTCTCGAATACATAGACAAATATTTGTGATATATGTTTGTCGTGTTTGTGTATAAATATAACGTACAAAGGGTAGGGATTAATTCGCGACGTTGTTACTTGAATAGAGAAGGGTAGATGTAAGGGCATCGACCCCTGCCCTAGGCCTATTGCAAAATGTATGACCAATTATGTTATTTAGAGTTTGTGCTGTTATATTCTTAATGTTATAGAAAAGATTTGGCTTTTTCGAAAATACTTAGTTGTTGCTTGGAGACATGAATAGATGTACGACAATAACTTGGGGTGCATTGGGCTCCAACAGATCTGGGGGCTTACTGTTGAATCCAATTCCGATCGCTCGACATTGACATTGTGAAATTTCGTACTCTTGAGTTGCAACACTAGCGCCCATTGCATCCGTATTGCGTGGATATTGAATGAACTAAATGGTATTGAGTTTGGCTTTATATTCCGTACTCTGAATGCTATTTTAACAGCTACGATTGGGGTTGTATAGTTTTGACATTGAATAATTATTGAGATTTTATTAGATTGAAATTGCATTGACATTGAGATTGGTTTCAAGAGTAAGCACCCTGGTCTAAGGTATTACATAGAATACCTGTGTAAAATACAGAGTCGCGGAGAACCGGGGCTCCGGCTCGAAGCGCAGGAGAAGGAACGGGGTGGTTTTTAGTTAGTAAGAGTCTGATACCTCTCGCCTCACCTAGGCGCGAGGAGTCATTCGATGATATTTCCCTTTTTTAAAAAAAATCCTGTGTAAAAACTACACATTTCTACTAAAAACGTTATTTTCATTGCACATTAAAGTGTTATTCCAAATTCATTAATGACTAGGTATTTCGATTTAACTCGTCGAGTAACGTCTAGACACAATTTATGATAGAACAATAGTTTAAAAATGTATAGGTATTCATTATTGTCAGTTATTTTTGTGATTACGCCCAATGATTGGCATGATACTGATATTACAGCAAGACTAATAACATAACTGTAGTTCATCATCAACAGCCTATAAATGCCAACTGCTGAGCATAGCTTCTTCTCACATGGAGGTTTGAGCATTTATCAATCTTGCTCGTTGCGGGTTGGCGATTTCAAACTTATAATTAGAGATTATAAGTTTGAAATCGCCTAAAAAAAGAAGTCGGCCTCATTGCTCTGTAGAGTGCGGGCCAGCTCCAACTCCATCCTGAAAACGATAGCAGGGAGGTACGATTCTCCTCTAAATTATGATATTGTTCGTAGATGCATCACGAGCAATAAGCTGGTTTCTAAGTAGCACGTAATCATGTTGCTGCTACAAAAAATCTTGGTATCGGTGATGTTGTTCGTGGATGCATTTACGAATAGCAAACATTTCTACTACTATAATACTACTACTTAATTAATTACTAAAGTGTACTAACATAGATATAAGTTATTTCTACTAATAACCTATGGATGCTTCTGGTCCGAAATAAAGAGTATTTTATTTTATTTTATTTATTTGTACGACAGGGTTCCTCACGACGTTTTCCTTCACCGTTTGTCAGTGGTGTCTAAATAATCTTTGAAAGTACATATAACTCGGAATTAGTCACATTGGTAACTGTACTTAATTGATATTGAAATAATAGTTTAATTGTACTATCGCATAATATTACTTACTGCTTTCAGAAGATAACATCAGGAACTAACAAGCTCATTATTTAATTTTATTAAAGTGTATGCCCACACAACAAACATCACGCCTTTCATCCTCGAAGGGTTAAGCATACGTGCACATTACGGCACTTAATGCCACTGTAGTCTGTACAATGTAACACCCACTTATCACTATTTATGTTATGAGTCTCATGTAATATGCGGTGAACCTATTACCATATACTGGGCACAATTCAAACTCCAGTAACACTTTGCGCGACTCGGGAATCGGACCCGGGAATGGTAGTCGCCCTTGCGACCACTCGGCCAACGAGGCAGTAGAAAGTCGATGCCCCTCTGTAATAAAATATGTATTGTCTATGTAGGTTATACATTCTCTCTACTAAAAGTCGATGAGTAATAAAGCTGTGCATTCGTTACTAATAAATCGTTTTAATTATTAATAGGTAGGCCCATTGAAGTCTTTCAAAAAAATAAATAAAAGGCTGATCACATCTCTAAATAAAACACGAATTTAGGATAGGTCAATTACAAAAAATATTTAATTACATTCTTTTTTCTTGGGGCACTTGTCAAGGGTCACACATTTGCCGCTGGTTGTGTCCCTGACTGTTGGAGAATCACAGTAGCAAGCTGAGTAGTCACAGATTAACCCTTTTCCAGCCACTGGGGAAGGTTCGTCACAGGTCGGTTCAGGAGTCAAGGGTCCACAACCAGTCGTGTAGGAGTGAGTACCTTCTTCACACTCTTTGTAACCTGGAACAATGAAATTGATAGAAGTTATAATAAAAACAAAAAAAAGTTCCCCGCAAACTCAACCTCGATAAACCATAATTTGGTACTTTTGAAACGTCAACAAAAATAAAATAAATAATAGTCTGTCAGTCTGTCCGTCAGTGAATCTAGGTGCTTGTTCCAAAAAATAGATTCGAGTGGAGAAGAACGAGCAAGTAACTCCATTCGTTACTCTTGCCTGCTTTTACAAACATACAAGTTTATCAGTTCAAGTATACGTATACCTGGACCCGAAACAACAGTTTGTGAATCTCACAATGAGTTACGTGCGGGAAACGAACCCGCTACACGTTGCGCGGCAGCCAGTTGCCTAACCACCGCGCCTACTGGCAGTTTAGGAAACATTTTTGTTAGTTGTAGAATTTTTTATTTAATTAGATTTTGGATTTAATTCTCGGGATGAGCAAAAGATTATTGGAGAGTTTTGAGAAAGACAATAGACCTGACTAAGATACTACAAGCGTGACAAAAACCTCTTCTTATGTAGAGAAGATCAAAACTCCAGTAGTAAACAGTCGTGCGTTTGACGTTGATGCTTGCTTATACATAACGCAATAGATTATTATGTTTTCGGCTTACTCACGTAATAATTTGGCGAGGAACTCGACTAGTTTAGACTTCAGAGACTCAGTAACAGCGCGACAGTCGCCGCGTCGCGGGTCGCGAAATGCTGCTCATGAATATGAGCCTCTAGTATGGCTTGAAACTAGTCGAGTTCCTCGTCAAACAATTACGTGAGTAAGCCGAAAACATAATAATTTATTTAGTATGTCTCACGAAAGTTACAATAATTCAATAGACTAATTTGTAAAATAAACTCACCAAGTTAATACGCAACTAATTAACTCCCTATCTAATTTAATGTCATTTAATGTTGTCCATTCGTTAGTTCGTTTAGAATCATAATTGCCATTCACAAATAAATGCATTCGCCAAAGCGGCTATGTTTAGCATACATTTAAATTTTGTGTTATCTAAAATGGTGTTTATTCGTTTTTGAATTGTTTCCCTAATTTTCCATTTTGTTCTGATAATTAGATGCGTTAAACGATAGTCAGTAATTGTATTGTTTTATAGGATATGAAATACTAGCTATTCACCCATTGCTCGGCTTCTATATGCCATTTTTCTTTTTTAAGAGAGGAAAATCATCGATTGACTTTTCCCGCCTGGGTGAGGTGAGGCTCCTGCACTTCGAGCTGGAGGAGCCCCGGTAACCCGTTAGGTTCTCCGCGGCTCAGTATCGGCATTAGCCCTATTGGGCCCCCCGTGGTGGTCTGATGGCCCTTGGAGGCGCGCGCGGAACGCAACGCGCCGTACGCTCGGGCTTGGTTCTGGTCAGACGGCGAGCCACCCATGCTCGCCGTCTGCAGGCCCGCGCTTACAGTGGCCGGAAATCGTTTCTATTTGCCATAGCATGATGTTTTATAGCCTACAGCCTTCCTCGATAAATACACTATCCTACACAAAAATAATTATTCTAATTTGACCAGTAGTAGGTATCTATATAATAGAAACTGTCAACAATGGATGTTGGAATGTTTAATGGTATTTTAGCTAGGCCTACATCAGAAGCTGCGAAAATTGTATATTCCTTTATATTAGATAGATAAGTAGACTGAGTTATTTTGTTTAAGTTGTAAATACATTCGTTATGTAGAAGCACGATGGTATGGACATCGTCACAAAATGTGTACAAAAATCCCTTACAATAAATGAGATTAAAAAAAAGTAATTTGTCATGGTTCTGTCCTCGCAGGTAAAACCTGGTTCAGCAATCTACCATCTGCTATATCTATGTACCATGACATATCTATGCAGTGTAGTAGTAGTAGTAATGTCAAAAAAACAGAACAAAAGAAAGAAAAACATAATTTATAACATTATTTATGCATTTATTATTTTAGTTCCTTAGTCTCTCGTCGTCACTTGAAATAAAAATCAAATAAGTCATGCAAATAATCCAAATTCAAAATGGTCGGTTAATCGATAAGAATCTCATTAATGGCGAGATAATTAAAAATAATGACAACCGTCATTAAAGACTTTAAATAAGTTGTCACGACAAGTCGCCAATTAAGGCAATTCGTTATAAAACGTCATTTAGAGAATAAAAACATCGTCTTGTTATTTGAATTAGTTTTCTTAGAAGTTTTGTAGTTTATTAAACAAAATATACCAATGGATTCAATCTATATACAGATAAATAAAATTGGAGTATCTGCTTGTAATATTAAAATAACAGCTTTCTACTATAATAAAATAAAAATAAAAAAGCCTTATATTTCTTACTAGTTTACAAAGAAATAAAAAATAAAAAGATTGGTTTTACGTAATAAGGTTTCCTTTGCTTTACGTCCTACTCAGTTAACGTTGCTTGTAGTAAGAACCCCTCGCGTTATTCGAAGGTGAAGGCCTCCTCTAGTGCTTTCCATTTGTCTCTGTTCTTGGCGATATCTATCCAATGTTTGACAGCCACTTGGATTATGTCGTCTGTCCACCGCGCGTATGGTCTACCTCTTTTTCTCGTGCCCCCTAGGCCTGGCCAAGATGTTAGGAGGGAAGTCCACCGGTTATCTGCTTTCTACTATATGCATATGATATGAATATGTGGTGGAATATACGACACAAATGTCAAATGACAATAATTATGACACTTCAAACAAATCAACCGTGAAGTCACAAAAATCCTACATAGCACATGTGAAGTTTATATTCGATTTAACACGGATAGAATAGAAAATCCCAACGAATAACTGTTCTGTCATCACCTCGCCTGGTCGGAGGATCCTCCTTTTTATATCTTAGTGAATATTACCCTCTGTTCCTCAAAAATATACATACGATACACATACCGTGGTCACGTACACGTACCGAATGTCGTGGTGGCCCGGAGGTTTAAGACTTCTCATGCATGAGGGTGCGGGTTCGAAACCTACCAACGGCAGGGACTTTTTCCGAGTTCTATGTACTTTCTAAGATTATTTAGACACCACTGACAAACGGTGAAGGAAAAACATCGTGAGGAAACCTGGACTTATAATTTCTAATTATAAGTTTAAAATCGCCAACCCGCATTGAGCAAGCGTGGTGATTATAACGCTCTAACCTTCTCCGTGTGAGAAGAGGCTTTGCTCAGCAGTGGGCATTAATAGGCTGTTGATGATGATGATGATGACACATACCAAAATAACATTTTTTTTCTATCTGTCTATTTGTAAGAACAAATCTCTGGAATGGCTGGACTGATTTTGCAAGACTTTTATTGGCAGGTAGCTGATGTACTAAGGAGCCACATAGGCTTCTTTAATGTTGGGAAATTGATATAAAAAAGTATTGTGTGTAAAATTAAATCGAATTAAATTTTACCACTGTTAAACTGTCAAGAGAGGCGAGCAATCATAAGTGCAGCTACCGAACAAGGTGATCCGGGTTTGATTACCGTCTTGAGTAAACTATTACTGTGCCTTTTCGGGTGTTTAACTTTTTTCCAGGTAGGTACAGACTCTGAAAACTCATCCTGCTGGTAATAACCTCGCCTACTACTTACTCCCTAAATAAATAAAAGCATGACATATTACATAATTTTGTTCGTCTCTGACCCTAGAAATCTAAGGTTTTAACTAGGTAGATACTTATTGGCGCACTGATCTTACTATCGAAAACCATATTGTGAGGTTTTTTAAAACATGTCTACACAATACATTGTCAGGTGGGCAAAGTCCAGTTCTCAAATAATTAGTAGGTTTTTTTTAAGGGTGGAAAATCATCGAATTAGTGCTCCCGCCTAGGCGAGGCGGGAGGGAATGTCAGACTCTTACTGACTAAAACCCACCCCGTTCCTTCTCCTGCGCTTCGAGCCGGAGCCTCGGTAACCCGTTAGGTTCTCCGCGACAATTAGTAGGTATATAAATCCACTTTTAATCGTTTTTCACAACTGACTCAGAAAATCAATTAAAGTAAAGTCACATACCTAGCTACGTATGTCGTATTCAATGTTAATTGGTATGAGTCAGTATTTCTTTACGCCTTGTCCTCACGACAAATCAATAGAGGTAACTATTCATTATTATATTTCATTTATTGATTCATTTAACAATTTACATTGTGTCTGAATTTAATATAGGTACAAAAAAGAGACAAGCAAATTCACATTACGAAAACACAACCACATACACAAAAATAAAACAATAGAATTTCATTAATTTAGGCTTCTAAGCAATTATATTTTATGAAGCTTAGTTTACACGATCACCCTTCATTTTTGAAAATTGGTAGAATATAAAATAACATCACGCCGTTTATCCCCGAAGCGGTAGGCAGAGGTGCACATTATGCCACTGTACAATGTAACCACCCACCTTACACTATTTATGTTATAAGTCCCGTGTATAGGGGCTGAGCCTATTGCCATATATCGGGCTCAATTCCAGACTCCGTGCTACTACTGAGATTCTTTTAAAAAACCAGTAATACTTTGCCCGACCCGGAAATCGAACCCAAGACCCCTTGCCCGGCAGTCACACTTGCGACCGCCGTGATGCACAGTGGGTACATTTATAAACACACAATATAATACCTCAAATAGACAATCATACCGGAAATTAAACAATTAACGGGGCTCCGGCTTGGTATTTAGTCAGGAAGAGTCTGACACTCCCTCCCACCTCAATCAGGCGGGAGAAGTCATTCGATGATTTTCCCCCCTTATCTGACGACCGCATCAAAATCGGTTTAGTCAATCGCGAAATAATCGATTAAACAAGTCGACTAAAAATAAGTTGAATGTTTAAATACTGCAGGGAGTTAATTCACTTCGGTTTACGCACCTTTATTTACTGTATAGGTATTAAAAAAATATTTAACTATCACATTGTCCAAAACAAATATTCCTTATATACTTAAAAAGTCTTTAAGAACAAAACATTATTTACATGACTAACTAATACAAGAATTTGTTT